TCTCCAGTGTAACTTTTCCAGAACATAATAAACATTTCACGGATCACATGTGCAGTGATACATTGATTCTGGCCTGCGTCCCAGAACAAAATTCACAGTGTTGCCCTTTTAGTTCAACTTGAACTGTAACTAAACAGTGCTCACAATCCGTAAACTTTAGAAGCAATTCAAATGTCACAATTATTTTGTTCTTTTTCCTTGACATTTCATATTTAGCATCTGAAAAAGCAGTGCCAAGTTTGGACGGAGTCCATCCTACACCTACATGACGTGTATATTACTGCACCTCCAAATTAGAATAATGTGACTAAAAAGAAAGCATTATTCGTTCCTTTCATTTGCCTTGACATTTTTCAGTCTATACCCTGTGCGAGAAAGTTATTCTAAAAGTTGGATACAACCCAGTTCAGTTCACGACCCAGTCTGTACTTACTGGGTTAAAAGTGATGACAGAAGATGGGGTATATATTTTAGATAGAAAGGTCACAGTCCTCTCCACCAACCTCTGCTTGGAGAGTACCTATACTGTGATATATAGAGAATACACCTGCAATGTTTACTAGGTGTGAAATTACACTCAGATGTAGTTGGCTTAGTACTGGTGATCCCAAAAGCCATAATATAAATCTGGTGTACGTATCTGTCATTATTGCACACCAACAAGTTGACGTATTGGATTTGACGTTAATGAGTTTTTCCAAGTTTGCAATTAAGTTTCTGTGGTGACATGACAGGACGCATTAGCACAGTATCATCTATGGTTAGTATGATGAGGTAAATTCCCCTAGCTCTTTTCAACTGTAGACCATGCATAGCTTAATGATCCATCCTCAGGACTGAAATTGCCTGTAGCAAGTTGGGTGAGTGGAATTTGAATTTCTCAATGTTACTGATCCAAACCTCACTGCCCAGATATGATTCAGTGGTGTAGTGACATTATACAAAATAAATCAAGTAACTGAGGAGTCAGTCATTTCAGATAGCCATCCATTCCGCTATTTTTCATAGTGACTGAGAATGATTCTGAAACAACACACTGTAACCTGTATATATATCCAGTTGCTTGATCTATCTTGTTTTAAATAATGTTTAATCTAACCTAATACGTTCATTGACATTATGTGATGTAACAACTTGGGAAAATTACTTTTCTGAAGGTGTCACTTATTAATAAGTAGACTCTACAGTGGCTAAACTCCCCTTTCCAATTATTCTCCCTATTTGGCTAAATTTTACTGTATTTGAACCCGCATGGTTACTTTGGTGAAGACTAGTTACACCCTACTCACAGTTGCAAACTCACAGAAAGAAAAAAAAAGAAACAATGATGAATCCTTTCCGCCCCACTGGCCAGATGTAGCCTTTCCGCATGCATAACTCTCAACAGGCTATTTTACACTCCAACTCTTCATCCATCCGGAAATGGGCAATCTTGAGTTTGGCGAGTTATCCGTCTGCCGAGAGTTGTGCGTCATCAGTGATGCACTTGGCTTTGCCCTTGGACAAAAGTGGTGCTTTGATTGGGAAGATGTTAAATGCAGCGTGGAGGAAAAGATTTGTAACTCGGCTCATAACATCTGAAGTTCTGCATTGATGTAAGACATCCGAGCAGGTTTGATGGATATGGGATCTGTGGTGTAGTTGTGCGGTAGCTCTTTATGATGCAGCTCTTTATGACGAGAGTGAAGAGTGTCATACTTCTGCAGTTCTCCTAGGACGTTGAATATGATATCGCAGCATCTGATGTCTTTCACTGATGGGGGTTTAGATAGTCCATCTACTTCATACAGTGAAAATAGATGGAATGGATTTCTTGAGATGAGTCATCTCTTGTGTGTTGCTAAATCCACTGTGTGGATGGCAGTTGAATGTGGCAGGTGTGTGGGAGAAACTTTGAATGGAAATAAAAGTTACTTCTCTAACTGACTTACAATTTATTGTGGATATCACAGTTACTGTCGGTGACATTGTGAAAAGTAGCAAAAGTTTAGTTTCATGAGTTCATTACTTTTCCTGACCACAAAAATGTACTACACAGTATGACATAGTACAAGATTACCTACGTCAGGGGCTTATACTCTTCTGTAAAAATTTTCCAAAGTACCGAAACTTAAAGTGACAGTAACTGTTGTAACAATTTGTTATCACAGTTTTAAGTTTCTTGATACTTACATTTTTGTAGAAGTTTTTCTTCTAGTGAACTGTTTTCATTTTCTGATATGTCCAATAGCATTCTATAGATCTGATGAATTATATTGTTCCTCCAGTGGGGAGGATTTCTACTATCCGCTAGCGATGTCTGGTCGGTCCAGGAGCATCGAGAGCCTGCACTCTCCCTCCAGCGAGGAGATGAAGAGAAGAAACATCCCCCCAGCGACTCCGCCCTCCGTACCCCCGCCTACCTCCTCACGGGTCAACAAGAAGCTCTCCAACAAGCACAGAGGCTTCTCCATCGACTCTGCCATGGGCCCAAACCTGGACAAGGGGAAGAGATCGCGGAAAACCAGCTATGGACCAATGCCATCTCCAGGTATAGACTAGCCTGGTTTCCAAGCATATCTTTGTGTGTTTTAGGCATGCCCCCTTGTGAGTAAAAGTGGTACTACAGATGGATTATAAAATAGCAGGCAGTCATGTCAGATGACAGAAAAACAATCAAAGTGATTGATTAGATATTGTTTTAAATGTAGAAAAGATTTATCATGATCATTATTGATTATTACATCTGAATGGTCAGTTTGTTTTATGATGCTGTTCTTCCTGCTAAATTTTTAATCTTGGATGTTTCTCCCCAGTTCTGTTTGACTCAGTGGAGCTGCAGGATTTGGATGCTGTCAGGAGTTTACTCAACTCTCCTCACTGTCCTGACATTAACAGGTAACATACATTCATCATCATCATCTTAACCTCCCCCTCCCTCCCCCGGAACTGAGCAAATCTTGTACTACTGAACTCCATTAACATTTATTTGCTTTCATATATCCACCACTTTGAAAAGCAGTGTTTGAGTGATCTCTAGTGCACATAGCCCCCAGGTATGCACAGTTTGGAGATGCAGCAGCAGTGAGTGCACTTTACTGGCTGATGTTGCTTTGGAGATCTCTACAGATGCATGTTTCAGGTGGTGGATATTTGGCGCGACAGAATATTTGTAAGACATACATGTATTATAATATATATGATTAAAGAAATTGTATATTTTGAAGTTGCACTGCACTGGTGCTAGCCTGACTTATTCACAGTTTTATGTACTTACTAGTAGCCCTTCACTAGCTGGTAAGCCCTCTTGAATCTCAGGGAGAGGCCAATCAGCCCCAGACAGCAAGAGATTGTGTATCACAGTCTAGCAATACATGCAATTAAAAAATAACCTGTACCAGACAAATTTTACTTGTGCAACTCAGTTTGGGAAGTGTTTTAGGGGTGGAATCTCACTCCTCCGCGCTTGTTTTGGAAATATATTATTAATCTATAGCCGTTTGACAGCATTGCATGTTTTGTCATGATATCGATAATCTCTTCCATCAGTTGGACGGACAGGCTGTTGTCAGATGGATTTGTCCCGTGTAAAAAACCCATTCATCAACTTGCTTGGTTTAGATATGAGACAAAATTTGCAAAAATGGGGTCAATTCGATATTTTTATTTTAATATGTATTGTCATAATGTTTGTTTTGTATTACATTTTGTTAAACCACTGTCAAGAATACAGAGAACTGTTTCCACTGGTATGAAAAAATATTGTTTAAAATGTAATTTTTATGGAAAATCAATGACACCATTCATTACCAAGTGTTTATCTTATAGATACATGTAAAAACCAGATGTGATAATGCCATAGGCTGCTATTTATTGGTGGTACCAAAAAATAAAGAACTCCTCACGTAGCATGCGTCAACTATGAAATGATGGACATGTGCTTAAGAAATGCCACAGTAAATGTCAATATCAGACAGATTTCCTTATCAATAATAATGCTTTGTTTTGCTGTCCTGAAATTGCATTGGATGCCTTTAAGACAGCTTGTAATTAAAAAAGCTTCTGCTGTATCCAACATGTATATGTATGGGTTATTCAATGATCGTAAATTGGGGATTGACGTAGTAACCATGAGTCAGCCTATGCAATATATAGCAGTCTCTACACTGTTGAGTAATTATCGACTATTGGATGAAGCAACGTCGTGACTTGTAAACAAGGTTGACTTAGGTTTCACCGAGGTTGAGACAGAATTACACCAAGCAATCTGTTCAGAGTAGTCTGGAGTGTGATTCCAGTGATGCCTGAGGGAATATTGTGCATTTACAGCTCAGAACCTTATCTGAGAACCAGTGGATACACATTGACAGTGGTTAAATGAGTTCGACCACCTTCAGTTGCAGTAATTCCTGATCCACTAACACATTCAGTACTGTTTATTTTGCTAAAGAAATTGAACTTCTTCCCACACTAATGGCACACTGGTGTATAGGGCAGTGCCCATCTCTGATTCATTAGCCCTTGGGCCACACTTCACACTGTGGGATAATACAGCAGGGGGGCTATACCAGTAGTTCACTGGTTAGGGATGCTTGTTAAAGGCAAGTCTAAAAACTTTGAAGATATAAGTTTAATCTGGCTTTTAAATCTCTTTACCACAATTATAATATTGTAAGTTTAGAAAATGGCACTCACATATGGGTTATGAATCATTCAAGCCTGCCTTGTAACGTTAAGCTCTTGATGTCACTGATAGATGACTAGTACACAATACCAGTAGAAAAGATTCATTTAATGCGTTGTCCTTATATGGTCCCATAGTTGTTCCTTTCTAGTTTTTACTCCTAACACATGTCATAGAAAAACTGAAAGTTTTTTTTTCTTATTTAAAAGCACTTTTATCTGTTGCCCTTGTTAAGAATGCAAAAAAATAGATCATGCTGAAAGTAAGCATGATCTGGTGTGACAAAAGTGATGAATAAGGCATGAAGCAGTAGAATGATAATATGCTGACAAAGATCTCAATCGATGTGAACAAATACAGTCAGACATTTGACTCATCACCAAGAAACCACAACGTGACATGCCATACGTCATACAATGGTCTCGGGAGACTCACGAGAATCAAATCACTGCGTATAAAAGAGATTGAACCAACGCCTTAGGTCATAAACCCAGTTTCTCATCAAGCCCTCTACCTGAAGTCCCGAGAGTGCTTACTGCAATCTTGTGGAAGTTCTCTGGTCTTTCTGTCAGTTTCTACATTGTTGTAAGTTTCACATTCGAGTTATAAATCAACACTGGTCCCAGGTATAATTCTACATGTAGTTTTCATGATTTCCAGTCATGATTTCTTTGAATCCTTTATCTTTTTGGGCGACTTGGTCAAAGCATGAAGCTTTTTTGGTATGTACATGTAGCAGTGCAAATCATGTGACTTTGCTAGGTGTGTTATATTTGGCCACATCGGGTCACCCCTACTCTTCTTCAAAAGTGTGCATATACATGTACAGGACCTGTGAATCATTACAATCCATTTTTCCCAATCCAGTATCAACGAGGAAGGTTTCACTCCGCTGGACGTAGCAGTGATGACCAACAACGTGCCCATGTCCAAGATGCTGATCACAGCCGGGGCAGTGGACAACCCCAGATGTAAGTACCTTTGACTTTCATGCAGAAACATATTTTATGATATGGTTAGATAGTTAATAGAATTATCCATTATCATGAACATTTTTATGACAGCCGGGGCAGTAAGTGCCATTGACTTTTATACAGAAATTTCATTATAACATCTTTCAATTTAAGTAAAACATAATTCCACCAAGTCTTATGTACCGGTATCTGCCACTTAGAACAATTTGTTTAAAAACACAGTTATCCACATTTTTGTTTGCCAAAAAAGACTTCTGTGACGTCACCAGTTCATGGCCAAATGCAGCCTTTTTCGTGTCACTTCCATAAAACATGATTAAATGTCATGCACGTGCAGTGGGAAATTTTCCACGTGAGCTAATTGCAGGAAAACAAATATCCCGTCTTCCTACTACTAATAATTATTACAGTAAGTTACTGTAATCAATACGACAGTGCAATTTGTCTAAATGCCTCAGTACCATGTGAAGCCAGATATACATGCATGCAATACTAGAATCGAATGACACTCTATCTGTATGTCAAGCTTGCTAAGTAACTGTAGTAATCATCTTAAAGGAATCTGAGAAAAGAAGACCATGCCCTTAGATAATTTTTCCCATCGACATTAGGAATCTTATAATAGTGACCACATACATGTACCTGTCCACTTAGACAAGATTTTATCTACATGTATTCCCTGAGTGGTCTTCCTGGCCAGTTTTGACTGTACAAAGCCACAGAACTAATGTAACCTTAACCTGTCATCTCTCTCCAGTCTCGTGTCCGGAGGCCCGGGGACTCCACCTGGCGACATTAGTGAGCGAGGCTGAGAGAAAGGTGGACAACATCATGCAGCAGGTGGTCAACATGGGTCCCCCCACCAGCGCGCAGCAGCAGAAGGTATGAGAGGGCCTTCATTTTAATTTCATCTCATCCATCTCTTATAATTTGACTGTTGAGGCACGACAAAAGATCTGTCAATCTAAAAGACAAGTTTTTTTCATCCTTCTCAGTTTTCTGTTCTTTTTAGTGTTTCACTCAAAAAAAAAATTTTAGAAAAAAACATTTCCTTGCTGATCCTTTTCTTCATCTGTTCAAACTTACAGGAACAAGAACAACAGTTGAAGAGTTGGGAGTGGCGCTTCCGGCTGCTGAAGAGAATGAAGGCTGGGTTTGAGCATGCAAGTAGGTGTTCTTCATTTTCCTATCAGCTCTACATGACTATATCACTGCATTAGCTATGATCAAAAACAGTGAACATATTAAACTGAAATTCGAGGTTGAAATGTAGTTGGATGGGAGATATATTTACAGTGTCAAAAATTAAAGGTCACTGCAAAAATGAATCTACCAGGATGACAGTTTAAAGAATTACTGTTACAGTACACTGTACAGTTTATTACATGTTATTTGTATATATATTCTGGAGATGTTATACATGTAAGTCACTGTAGTTGCAGTTCCAGCATATACTGATAGAGGTCTCTCCTTGAAGATGGTCCAAGTCACTCAATGCAGCTAGGACTGTCCTAACATTGTATGTATTGTGTTGTGTTACCGCTAGATACATTCTTTTTTTGTCTCAAAGTTTCTAACATAAACAACTTGACATTTTATAGGATTAGAAAAATTATATAGCTTTATACAGCCAAAGATTCTGGATATAAATGGTGGATAGTGGGCGAGAGTAAAGCCAGGGTGGGTGGGGTAGGTGTGTTGCTAAGGTACAGTGGAGTTGCCAAGCAATATGATTGTTTTAGTCACTGACTTTTTGGAGTTCATCTCAGCTTCTTGTTCGTTTGCTCGGTTAGTTTTCTCCCTACCAAGGACCTCAGGTTTTGCCTCCTCAAAAGTTGACAGCAGAAGACAGTCTTGAAATGTCACTTGTCCTGTGATGATGAATGCATCTAACTTTTCTGCTCCTTTTTTGCAGAAAATTAATGGGGATTTTCATTTAATATAAGAGGGAGGTGGACTGAAAGAGGCAGAGAAATTCAGAGATTAATAGGTTATTGTTTACTCTTTTTATTAAACCAAGGTTTCTTCACATACGTGTAGGAGAACTACTGTGATTCTTGAAGTTCAGATCATATGACGTTTCCATGCCACTTCTCTACAGCAGCACTTTCCATGGCAAATAAGGTCAGCATTTCAGCCAGCGAGGCAGCCCGTGTTGTTACTCACTCGAGTCCCTCAGGAAGATCACGCGTAACACCGAGATAATCGAATTGGAAATCACCCAGGCTAAATATAGAACCACTGTGGCCAGGCAAGCTTAAAATGGGGAAGATTTCTTCCACTTACATCTTTATTGGCTCCCTCTGGCGCGCTGACGTCAAACTTCCGGACAGATACAGATTGTCTTGTCACGACTACGCTTCATCGCCTCCTAACAATCTTCCCAGGCTCGGAATCAACAACATTTGTATTTGCCATTAAACAGGATAACTTGAGGCTGAATGCGTACTATGTGAGATAGTGGTTTGGAAAACTCATATATCACGGTGATAGAGCTGGTTACGGTTGTTGAGCTTTGTGCTTGCAATAGGATAAAGTTCTTTACTACTGAACAGTAGACTGTCTCATAAATTATCCCATACAATGACGAGTATGTTATTTTATATTGCCTATATTTTATATTGCCTACAATGTACATTGTATAAGTCTGTAGCTAAGGAATATCAATACTTTTGATGCAAAAAAAATCAAGTAGCCAGTTTCAGATAACTTTCTTGGCTTGCAGTCAAAACTACACTTCTCAAACGAATGTCTTTAAAACTTCTTATATTATAGCTTCCCAGTAGTAGCCATACACTCCCTTTTTCCAAGACTTTTACATTTCCTACTTATTGATCCACATCATTTTATTCTGCTTGTCTCCAATTTTCTGGGAATTTCAGAGCGTGAGGAGGTCCTTGCGCTTGTGTGCGTCACTGACTGTATCCGTCCTTCCACGAACCTAAGGAAGTATCCATCACTTTCATCCTTAAGCCATCCTCAGATTGTATGTCAAAATGATCGTTACCGCTCGATAAATCTCCAAATAGCACGGAATTGACAGCATCCTTCCCATAATGTAGGCTTCCTGGATGCATGCAAATGTTACTGTCACTAGATGAGATAAGTTAAATCCCTACCAGTAATAAAAGAAGATGAATTGGTTATGGTTGTTGGTCTGTGTGTTGTAGGATGAAGTTCCTGATAATATCACCCCACATCAATATTGCACGGCCTGTATTGTTTTTGCAGAAAAATTCAAACTTCAGTCAGTAAGACTAATATAGTAGTCTGCAGATTTGCACATTCAAAGAAAGACTCTCTATAATCTACTAGATTCTAAACTTTATTTTATAGGTTCCAAGTAGATGCTTTATGTTGCTTTTATCTCCTTTTCTTCCCCATGTTTAGATCAAGGTACAAGTGGAATCTCCACCATCAGCATCGTTATATCCGTTGAGGCTTCTCCTGAGGCATTACTGTGTCCATCGTTCCATAACATTGCAGAAATGGCCATCCTTTCACCCTTCACTTGTTTTGTATCCGTTCTTCCACGAAGTCGTGATAGTGGACATCATGTGATCAGCTTCCCAGCTAAGCCCATAATGTCCATTTTTCCGGACTTTTTCCCTGACCAACTGTTGATGTCACGTGTGTCCATCCTTCCGCAAATGCCCGTCCTTTGATCAGTTTTTCTGCGAAGTCGTGATACTCAGACATCGTGCAGTCAGCTTCCCTACAGGCTATAAGGCTGCGTCAAGTCAATTTATTGGTTTTGGATTTTAAAAAATCATGCAGGCTTTGTTTGTGTGTGTTTGTGTGTGTGTAATACCCAATAATCGGATGATGTCCACTGTCATGAGTTCATGGAAAAATGGATCTGATGCATTTTTCCATAAATTCATGACAGTGGACATCATCCGATTAGCTTTCTATCAGCCTATCATGTCCATTTTTCTTTGACCCAGTCCACGTCACGTGTGTTTCCGTTCTTCGGCGAACTATGAAATAATCATCCTTTCATCCGTTTTTCAGCGAAGTCGTGACGGCGGATGTCGTTTCATCAGCTTTTCATCCTTCCTTTTTCCTCGTAGCTGCAGGAGCTTTTCCTTCTTAGAGAACCGCATGTCAGATTAGTTTCTACTGGGTAAACACCTTGATAAAGTGAGCCTTCTAGAACTTTTCATCTGCCCACCCACAAATCATCTAGAATGTAGCACACACGTGGACAGCAGTTACTTGTGTACAGCTGACATGGTACTTTTTGATCTACACTGAGTGTATTTTATTTTATTTTGTTTTGTTTTATTTATGTTTTGATATCAATAAAACCTACAGCCTCCTTTTTCATAGAGGCCAATATATTTTCTATTTCATACTACAAAATTTGATATGCTATTATAATAACATTTCCTGCAGTTTTACTCTAGACTTATCTTCTGAATCATGTTTAAAGAATCTTGGCTGTAATAGCGTAGTTAGTGAATAATTACAAGTTACAATGCCTCCAATATTTTACCACTTTTCATGACTGATTATACCATAGGGCACTTACTGGCCCAATTCAGCTATTTGGGGCTTATGGCTTAATACATACTTGATAATGTATCGTTCCAAATCTTGAAAAGGACAACTTTGAAGGCAAATGTACTCCTGGCTCCCTTTAATGGCTTACCTTTTAATGTGACAATTGTGTTGACGCAACACTTCAAAACACAGCTGCCGAAATATTATAGATTGGTAAAAATTGAAATTTAAATGATACAGGAATGATACAGCTCCATGAAACAATCTGTATTTCAAACTTGTTTGTACTCTTCTCATTATCCTAAGTCCATACCAAATCAATTTCTTGGTTGTTGGATTTTAAAACATATTGCTGGACTGCAAAATCAATGTGTAAGTGGTACACACAGTTTTAAGGCATGATTGTACTTAGCCAGACTTAAAAAGGTTTTCCTCCTAACCCAGTCTGTACTCATCTTGTCCTTTTGCTGGATTTTTACTTTAAAAAATAGCCATGAGCCAATGAATAAATTGGTGTGGCCTTAAAGCATACAATGATTTTGCCCTGGCCTCACAGAAGGAATCTTGGAAGGAGGAAACTGCCCCAGAGGGCTGTGGGCCTCAGCTGGAACATTAGGGGCTGAAATGGCCTGGCCGACTGCCATTGACCCCAGTGACCCTTAAATCTGTCCTGACCACATCCTTTCATACTTAGAAATAAATTCTCATTTACATTTTCTTAGAACAAGAAGGGGGAGTGTTTCCAAGATGCAATGAAATTCACATCCTTTTGATTATGATTGTACATTGACTACCTTTATGATCCATACAGTGTATATCATGTCTTTTTGTTTAATGTTTCAATTTGTTATCAGTTGTAGTTGATGAAGACCTAGACTTCTTCTGAATACTGTAAGGTCACTTACCTCCTGTAAGTGTTTATTCAAGTCTCTATACCTACATTATCCTTGTAAATCTGTGGGAAGAATGCAAATGATTTCAGTAGCTACATGTAGCCTTTGGAATAACAATAGGTTCAACCTTACAGCTTTTCAGCCCTGCTCCAACACGTACATGTAGGCTTTGCGGCAACAAAATACCACTTCCAAATGTCACAACACTGCTTAGCCCCTCAGTAACACCTCAGTCCTTTGTAAAAGCCTTGAGAGGAAGGGTTAGATATTACGGGTGCCAACCCTGCGCTCAGATTTCAGTCACCACACGTGAACACCCACATGTTTACTGCAGTTTTCTCCCGCGGTCGTTGCACCAGAGCTCACGTCACTTTATGCAAATGAGCCAGATGGCTTGCACAAGTGCCGGTGAGCCCATGGAAAAATTTCTGAGAACCCTGACGGTGATGTAAATGCAAATGAGGTAGAGATACTACAAGTACCCGGTTGTACCTGTTTGTCCTCATAACACACCAAACAGTTTGAGAAAACCGTTAGGGCTAGTGACTGCTAATTAATGTTTTTGTGGTGTCTTTTCTGTAAGTGTGCCATTTGAGAAGAGTGGAGTAGTTGTCTACAGTTTTGCCTCCTCTTAGTAAGTGGTGAATTTGGCCATTGTGAGTTCAAAAAGGGCAGGCATCATGAGGCAAAGGTCGTTAAGTTTTCGATGGAAGGGCCGGCCAAAGTTGTTCGGTAGTGCTGCGGAGTTTGAGACAACGGGAGAAGTCTGGAAAAGGGCATTTTCCGAGGGGTCGACAGGAATGCGGGAACTTCTGCAGAATAGCACTCTCAGTAAGTTGCCTAAGTCCTTTTCAGGGCTTAAAAGATCATTGATTTTCTATTTCCCTCAATATTTCCCTTAGTACAATGTATATCAAGCTTAGAGCATTTGGCAAGTTTTTTGCCAAAGTGTTCGCAGTTGTTATTTTACAAAATAATTCATTCTGAAAAAGCAACATTTTGCTTCTTACCGCAGGTGGGTGTTTCAAATACTGCCTTAACTATAATTTGTAGTGTCATCATATGTTTAAAAATCTGATTCCTGAATTCCTCGTAGGCTCGTACACATTCTATGATACCCATACATTCTACCAATTTGAAATCAATACTAAGTTTAGATTGTGTTTTCTGAAATGCATATTTCTCATAGTCACAGTGGTAGATTTCTAAGTTGCCTGTTCCACTTCCTAAATGCTAATCGCCAGCTCAGATGTAAATTATGTTCATTTAATTAGGCCTTGTTCCTAGCCGTTGTTAATCATAGGTATTAAGTTACAGGTGTGTCCAACTGAACTGAATATTAGCAAGGCATTGTACGTAGACTAAGTATAACATTTTCTCATGCTTGTTTCCTAACATTCTCGAATGTCCTTTTTTGGTGACACTAAACAGACTAGAAATGGGTACAAGGACTGAGCATATTTTCTCAGCAATTTAGATGGGGTGCATGTATTTGGTCAGAGTAAACCCAGTAATTTGTGTTTTATATAACGTGAGGTTAATATGTAACCGGTTATTATGGAATCGGATGCTTGGGTCAGACTGATGCAGTTAGTGGTCTCCTGGATACGGCAGACATAACGGCATTTTAAATGGTTTATTTATGTAAGGTCTAGAACAAAGCCATTTTGTCTATAGAGCCATTGCTTAGTTATGTTACAGGTAGCTATTATATATACATTTGTAGATAGAGAGAGAGGGAGATGGAAAAAGATACTGAAAGAGAGGAAGGGAAGGAGGGAGTGTAGGAGGGAGAGAAGGAGGGGTGTCCATCTCTTTTTCAATTAAGACCCCAGTGCAAGTGTTTCCAATGACTTTCAAAAATCAGTATCTTGTGTTGCATAACAGAAAATTAATTACAATCAAAAGTGAAAGCACTTCACGGCTCTCTGTGACACCATTTGATATTCCTATCGCATGGCTGTTTCCAAGCCTAATGGACTTGGCATTGAGTCTGAAAAGTAACCCAAATGTTTTCCTGGAATATGAACAGAGCTGCTGGTAGGGAAAAATCTACGTCAGACACTTGGGAGGTAACCAGGGTGCACTGGGAGTTTCAAATCCTCAGATGTCAACTGAGGTGCATCAGCCTCAGGGAGTTTCAAATCCTTTAAGGCATTTGGCACAGCCTGAGTCATAGAAATAAGATACACAAAAGAAAGTCTGATAGAATATACTAAAGACATGACAAAAATAAACTGAAGCCTAAATCTCTGCATGGAGAGTAGAAATGTGAGTACATTATATAAACTGTGTGTTTGTCCAGACCTGGGAGTGTCACGTTCCCAAGAGGTAACTCAGGTGCATTGGGAGTATTGTGGTTACATACAGGGATCTCCCCAGCAGTACCGCATTTTTCCTTCGATTTACAGAATACAAATTATCTCGTCTAACATAACACTTCGAAGAGATAAGAAAAACATATTCAGTACAACTCTGAAACCCAGCAACATCAATCAGTCCTGATTTTCAGAGTTGTACTGAATATTTTTTTCTGATCTCAGAGTTTAGAGTGCAATTTTAGATATGTTTCAATTTAATTGTCAAATATGGTAGTACACTTTGCCATTGATTTTACAAATATAGCATAACATACAATTAAAACAACTGATCTAATGAATACAAAGTTTAAATGAAAATAAATAAGTCTGTGTGTTCGTCCAGACCTCAAATTATCACAATAGAAAATCAACTTTAAGGTAAGATATCGTAATTAAAAATTGTTGATGTTTGTTTTCCAGGACCTCCTGGTGCTCCCACTGCGGTGCGGTTAGGCGTGTCCAGCAGCATGTCTCTGGTCGTCAGTTTCCAGGAGCCCGACACTATCAACGGCGCCATGGCAACCAGATATAAAGGTCTGATCTCCTTCCTAATGTTTGTACCTCGTGAAGTGGCCAGCTGTTTAATGTAGGAAGACGGATTGTAACTGTAATTTCCAACACGAAGGAAATTGCATTCGCCCACATTCTCGACTGTACGGCACCAGCCTTTGAGAAATGAACAAATCCACTGTTTCTATGATGTCACTTCATGCAGATTATTCAGACACTACAAGAGTAGTACATTTAGGTAAAATATCACTGGCAGATAGCTGTTTGGTTCCTGTGTTGTGAAGTGTGCAGCTTTTTAATGTAAAATAAATGTAGGTCGACAGATCGTAACAGTTCCAATATGAGAGAAATTGGGTTGGCCCACATTCCGACCATACGGCACCAGCCTGTGAGAAGTGGAAAATCCACAGTGACTGTTTCTATGATTTCACTTTATACAAATTTACATGAGATACAAGATGACTTTATTGGCAGTCACAGTGTCGCACACTGAAAGAAAGAAGGTGATTACGCTGGCTACTTGACGATTATCATCAATTTGACTTAAACTGAGTAAGAATAACATTACACTTAGTCTCAGACTGGTAGGACAGACACGTGACATGGTGAGTCATACATGTATGTCAGTAGCAGATTGCTGTTTGGTTTCTAGGTTTTGAAGTGGCCGACTGTTTGACGTGTTAGCTTCCAACGTAGACTAAATACTGCCGGATCGTAGCCACACAGTCCTCAGACACATGTCAACATCCACACAAACATGTTTGTTATGGGTTGGGGGAGGCTTGTTTTTAAATTATCATGAGAAAAACACTTAAGAGATTGTAGTGAGGAATATCATGAATAATGATAAAACAGCAAGGCCTGTCAAATGAAGTTTTCCAGGGCTTTTCAACATATACCACCAGTGACAACATATCTACAATGTCATAAAATTTTTGTCTTTTTTTAATTTTTGGCTTCAGAAGTCATCGCATTTGTCCTTGCAGTGAAGGAAAAAACACTTACCTAGTTTGTATAATGATAGTGAGCAAACAAGCTTGTTACTGAATCCGGCATATATTGCTCAGCAGCAACAAAATCTATGTGTGCATTTTCTTCAGATAGTAAAAAAATGCCCTGTCTCCAATCTTTGGTAGATTTTTTAAGAAGCCTAATGGTAGGTTATATGGGTGACAGTTTCAATTTCATGGTTGCTTTGTGTCGGCCGGATTGCCTTTAACATTTGATGCTGCGAGGCAGTGTGATGGCCTTGCCTTGACCTCCGCGCTTGTTAAGCCCGTTATTCTTCAAAGCGCTGCAGGTGATTTTTTTTATAATAAATTATGTCACTGAGAGAAATTTCCCAGGTTTCTCCAGCAGCTGAATTCTTTCCCCTTGTACTTAGATGACCTGTCCTTTATTTTGTATCTTAACTTTTTTTATTATATAGGCATACCAATATATTTGTTGGTTCTCAGATAAAAAAAATGATGCTAAACTGAAAATTTTATTCAGTCTTAAGAAAAAGTCTGTACCTTGGTTTACATGATTCTGGGATTTCCTCGACTTGTTTTCATCTTGACTACTTTAAAGTCAGATGGCAGTAGTCTTGGCCCCATCTTGAAGTGTTAAGATTCCAAGAAATTCCTGTCATTCCTTGTTTCGCAACAACACCATCAAGTATTGCCTGACGTCGTTAGTGACGTAACGAGATCAAAAAGACTTACGCTACGTTTCCCATAACCTGCCGCTGTGGACGTGTCTTAGATGGAGTGTTTCCTAAGAATCCTGCTGGAAGTAGCCTTGTTATTGTCCTCTGATGGCTCTGACGTGGCAAGGTTTGGCTACAAGATAAGTATCAAAGGCACACAGTGCAATTTCAAAGTAGTAAAACAAGATTTTCAATGTCAATGTACTGGTCATTCTTTTAACGCAGTAAGTTGAATCAACCTGTAGCATACTGATATCTGTCAGTGGCAAAATGCAATGTTGGAAAAGGGTTACTTGTTTTGTATCATATGCAATTATGTAGCTGCTTCTACCTTGTTTTGGGGCTATTTCAGTTTTTCAAGTATGAAAATTTATTGGATGACAAAAAGGTGCTAAGAAATGGCAGTAAATGTCAATGTCAGACAGATCCAATACTACTATCCGAATGTATTACCTTTTGTATTGCCTCCCTAAAATTGCATCGGATGCCTTTAAAGACCAAGAATTTGCCTGGAAGTGGACTTGTTACTGTCCTCAGATAGCTATGACGTAGTTCGGTCTGGCTACAAGATAAATAAAGACAAGCTACCTGTTCATTAGCAGTCCTTATTTCTGAGAAAGGCTTGTTTTTCACAGCTTCTTGTTATGCATGGTTTGACCTTCAATGTAATACTGTCCACCTCCACAAATTATTACCACGATGTTACAAATATCGAGTATGTTATCGACATGAATAAAAACAGGCATTTCCTGTTATGTACATCACAGTACATGTAACATTGTAGTGGTTCTCATTGAATTACTATTTCATATTTCTCACTTGAGAATCTGATTTTTCATCATCTGACCAAGGAGGATTTTTTAGGGATATGAAAATCGATCTTTGTTTAATTAGGTCATTGACAACAACAATTTTGTACCTTTCTTTCAACCATTTAATAGGCATTTTTAATGTCATTACAAGTATTTCTTTTCTACATGTTACACATGACTGCGTATAGATACACACAATCATGTCTTTGTATACTCAACTATATATGATTGCTGATAACAATTGTGTTAAACTTTATATTCCTTTTCCTGTTGTTGCTGCAGTTGAATGGAGCTGCTATGAGAACTTTGTTCCTCTGGCTGGAGAGTTTGTTCTGAGTGACCTGAAGACTCTCAGCTACAACATCATGGGCCTGTCAAAGGTAAGAACTTGAATAAAGCTGTGTTTTCAATTTAAATACACTCATACAGCATTTGCACCTCCACATTTGAATGGCACTATGCAATGGTGTGGAGTTGATTTACTTTGTAAAGAAATTACCATAAAATTACCAGCCTTTTTGTATCATTCTATCAACAGATTATAATTTATATATTAGACCAGACTAGGTAATTGCAGTGCACATCATAAAATCCTTTTTTTAATTTCTTCTAAAATTTCTTTAGTTCACAAAATTTTCCTTCTTTCCAGTGATTCATCATGGCCCTTGACTTAAACATTGAACATGTTGCAGCCCATTCAAAACTAGGCCAGATGGGGCTATTGTGGTGCACATTGCAACTTGAAATCAATTTTAGAAATAGGCTAGTTTTTTTAAGTTCCTCTAAATTTCCATCATGGTTTTCAGAATTATCCTCCTTTCCAAGAAATTCCAAGGTAAGCGTAAAAGTGGAGGCTGGCTGGATAGTGGGGAGGGGGCATGGGTTGGGGACGAGTTATCCCTCTCCTGCGCGTGTAAGCTCTCCACACACGGCCTCAGAGAGTTTGACTCCCAGGGTAGATTTCTTCTTTGCAAACCTTTCCAAGAAATTCCAAGCGAATCACGGCCCATAATTCAAACATACGTGTAGCAGGATGTTCAATAACTAGAAAAGACAGGGTTATTTAACTTAAATTATAAGTACAATGATGATCACATACTGTCAGTCAGTCTCAAAAGACTACGACTACAATCATATAAAACCCGCAAAATTTCAGTCCTAGAGTGTCTTTAAACATCTTCCCAACACATTCTGAGTATGTCATGGACCATAACGTATACATAACAGCAAGGAGATTTAAGCATATGCAAGCAATTTCGATTTAATTCTGAATACAGCACTACTATGCCTACTTTCATTTCAGTCCTAGTATCTCCAAACTTCTTCCCAATTACCTTGGAAGAACCTAGCCCTCTTTTCCAAGAAATTCTGAATGCGTCATGACCAGTAATTTATACATAGCATGTTTGATGACATAAGACAAGACGGGGTTATTTCGGTGCATGATTTAGGAGACCCGTCTGCCTATCTGTACCGTCTGCTGACCTGTGTGACCTGAAACAAATCACACGCACCTCTGCAGGGCTGCTGCAAAGCCAAAGCTTGATAAGTATAGAATACTACACAGTGTATTCCATATCACCCAAGATTCCAGCCCAACCGTATAAGACGACAGCAAATTCTCTTCCCAACAAAATGTTCTGACGCCCACCAGAAAGTACAGTACATGCGAAAAGGTTCTAGCATGTGAATACGGTGAATGATATTATCATATCATAAACCCAACAAAATGTTCTGTCATATTCCGCAAAACCAACTTTTTGAGCCGCCGCAAAAGCAAATATCAAAACCCGACAGTGCACGCGAAAACGCGGCATTTCCAAGAATACGGCGAATGATACATGAGACACCTGTTCCTCCCTCTAATGGCTTTATTGTAATTCGTCAAACCCTATAAGGTTTGTGTGGTCAACTGTAATCTGGATTACCGACAAAGAAATTCAATTTGCCACATTCCTCCTGGGAATTCTATCACCACTTCAGACCCCTGCAATGTCTACTCACTCTTACTGGAATATGGAGATGACATATTTGATGTAGACCTAATATTCGTCAAGTCTACCTTCCAGGAAGGACTGTCAGCACTAAAACATAATTACATGTGAGATTAGGGATTACGATTTATTTGCATTGTTTCATGCACAGACTTATGGAAGCGCAATGGGACTTTTTTGATATCTTGTTCTGGGAATAACTGCTCTCGGCAGAATCAATCTATGTACAGTGATCGTGCAAACGAAAAGTCGAGGGATTCAGAGAACCTAATACTTGTTAATCATGGATCTAGAAATAGAATTGAGCACCTAGAAGATAGATTGAAGTCTTTGCACATCAAGTAGTGTATATCAAGATCAATTTTTCAGGCTTTTTAGTTGAATCTTTGGCAATGTACTAAACATATGAAAATAATTGTAAAGAAACTATTTTGCCACTGAAAACATAAACAAGTTTGATCAGCAACTATTTTCAAAGATAAAAAGCATCATAATTTTCATGTTAGGCATCCAAGAATCCCTCCAACAAAATATGACATGTCCATTCTACACTAGCCTCCCAAATGAAATTAAAATACAGTCTACACAATAGCTTAGGTGTCAGACTTTGAAAGATTTCTTCCTGACTCTGGTTGAGAAATCTATTGTGAAAAACTGTTTTCATTGCCGACAATGTCACTTCCTTCTATATATTATGCAGTTAGAAACTTGATGCTGTGCCTGATAAAATCATCAAACGGAGTGTACTTAGTCATTAGACCTCTTCAAAAGTGTTTTCCCTGCAGAGAATGACTTTCTTTTGGCCTTTCAAGAATTGCCAAATGCAGTTTTATTGTGTGGTGGTTTAACAGTATCCTAAGTGGCATAAACTCACGGAGTCACAGTCAATTCTCTGCCTACATTTCCGCTTGTTACCTTCGCCAAGAAGGTTATGTTTTCAGGGGCGTTCGTGTATGTGTGTGTGTGTGTGTGTGTCTGTCTGTCTGTCTGTCTGTAAACACGATAACTTGAGAAGGCCTTGATGGATTATTTTGATACTTGGTAGGTGGGTAGGTCTTGATGAGACCTCAAAATGATTAGATTTTGGGCCCCCTAGCGGCTTGTTATGGTACTGCAGCTGAACTTCCGGTTTTGATATCTCATGATCTAGACATGCTGGGGTGATGAAATTTGGATGGTAGGTAGCTATCGTGCTGGGGAAGAAGTGACGTGAGTTTGGGCTCCCTAGCGGCTTGCTCTGGAACTGCAGGGATATATTCTTGAAATTATTCAAAAGGAGATAACTCAAGAACCGTTTCACGGATCGTCGTGATTTCTGGTATGTAGGTAGCTTACGTGATGCTTAATATAGTTATGTGACAATTATGCAAATATGGATGTAATTTACATAATTTATGGGGAAATTCTATAAATCAGCTGCATTCCATGATAGGACAATTGAAGCTTGTGACATTGGTAATTGACAACGAAACACAGGCAGATTTTGATTATGTTAATAATGACTTAATTTGCATAATTAATTAGAATGTTTTATAATTATGTAATGATAACTGCCTGGAATTTCATACTTGTGGTATTTGAAAGTTTAGTTGAGGTCAACATCATTAAACATAATTTATTCAAATCAGGACCTCATTTGCATAATTTATTAGGAAATGCTAGAATGCATTGTTTGTTAATATAAGACTGTCTTTTGGTTGAGATTATGATAAAATGATATAATTCATGAAAATTAGGTTCCTATTTCTTAAATCAGGGGGGAATAATCTAATCTATAATTTGTCAGTCATAAAGATTGACATCATTTGGCGAAGGTATGAGATCGGGGAACTCTAGTTAATGTTATTTTGAAAACAAGGGATTTCCTAGTCATTGAACGGAAATACAGAATTTCGTATACAGTCCTTGTTATTGAATCTATTGTCAATGTGCTGTAATTGCCCAATGACTAAGTCCATGTTTTCCTCAGAGTGGTAGCTTACCTTTATCAAAATTTTAGCAATGATAATAGAAATTTAAGCAAACACGGGACGTGCCTTTCACAATTTGTAAACACTTTTCCCGTGAGTGATGACTTTGCTCCATAAATAGCAACACCTTGACATTGAAGTATTCCCCCAGGCCGTATGGATTACATAGTGGATTTTCCAAACTACTATCTTCCATTAGGGCAGGGACTTTTCACTTCCTGAATTTGTTGTCGCCTGGAGGTGCAAAGTGCCCCCTCAATCTACCGGTAGACTCACATTCCCCCGGAAGAAAGTGTCCAGCAAGTGTCACGAGTCTGCCAATCATCCGCCAACACAAAAACATCCACCATACCACTTGTTGCTGCTACAATAACCAAGAAGCGTCCAATAACACTAGGGAATAAAAGATAACACTTAAGGAAGCCTCGGTGGAATCAAAAGGTTGTCTGTCAGCACTTGTTAAATCATCTCTCTGTGCCCTTTTGTTCCTACTTCTAAGGTAAACGTGGAAAACGTGATCTGCTTAGTGTAAGCTCCGTTGCTTCTTCCTGTAGGAAGACACACACTGTGCCGAGGGAATTAGTGATTCACCAGTTCCTGCTGCCCTAATATGGTCACCGTGGCTTGTTCGCTAATAAAAGACAGGTAACTGGAGTCTCCAGACCATTCGGTACATCACTGGTAGCAGCAATGCCTGCGTTTGGTCTAATGCGACGGGCAGCTTCTTTTCCACGTCAGGTATTTTGGTTATGTTGTTCTATTTCAATTACCCTGAAATGTATTTAGACTGTCAGGTCTGAACTACCTGTTGATGCTAGTGTTGAACTGTGAATAGTTTGTCCAACTTTGGTCATATATGACAGTCAATGTTGACCATGGTTAGATCCTAATCTACATCACCATACAGCATCTTGTATGGCTGAACATACTTCCATTTTGAGAATTATGACTGTACAGACAGTCTCTTCCACATAGGGTGCATCTGTAAGCTGACTCAGGTCTGGTCCAAAGTTCTTTTCTGTGGATCCACACTGCACTGTGAATCAGTCTAGCTTCCCCCGATTTCAGCTTCCTGGACAGTGGGCATCTACATTTGGATTGGTCGTTTGCAAGGTCCTCCCCTTCCAAACTTTGGTGCCACTATATTACAAATTTATATATTATGTACCAGACTACTCAATTTATAGTTGTAGCCCCATTGTCTGGCTTTCTTTTGTTCGGTATATACTGCATTAGCTTTGATGACTTGTCCTCACAAAGTGCATTGTTGTGAGAGGTTTGAGACATTCATCAGACTAACCTAAGAAGAAGGCCAACCACCATTTTACCTCATTGCTGAGATTACTTCCTCAGTTTATCATCCTAAAGTGCAGCTTTCAGAGCCTATTTCTCGACGAAAGCAGGTTTAGAGCCAAA